CATCTATTAGCAAAATCTGGAGCCTTCGGCAATATTTCTTTGGTTAAAATATTGACTTAGCCGTCTTTTTAAATATCAGCTCAAAATTAGCCGTGTAACAACACTATGGTGCAGGGTCTTTCAAACTCACTTATTCATACTTGTTGTAAAACCGATAAATTTGAGTCATTTTTTAAAAACGGGTAACTCAATATTTTACATAAGATTGAGCATCTATTGGCCAAATCTAGATGTTTTAGCAATATTTTTCAGGCTATAATGTTGAGTTAGCCGTTTTAAAAAATCGGCTCAAATTGGGCGGTTTAACAACACGAATTGCTTGGCTTGCTAAGAGTTCTTATATTCTCCTCGATTCTCAATTTTTTTCGCAATCGTTGCAATTATTTTTTGCTCTTTAAATTTGTTATTGACAGACAGGCTTAATATATAAGAAAATTAATATTATTTATAAAATCAAAGTTTACAAAAAATAATTAAAATAAAAAAACATCATCATCCACCAATAATTCCGTCCTTTTATATGTTTTTCATTAATTGTATGTGCTAATATTTTTTTATCCAATCGTATCATCGAAAACCTGGTTGGTTTGTTATGTGTTCTTTTTAAACAACCAATGCGGTGTCATATACTCACAAATTTCAATGTAGTAATAAATGTGTTTATATACAATACAGCCTTTGCTCTACAAAAGGTGAAAGTGAACATTTGTTAATCACTTTCAAATTTTGTAAGGCTAGTTAATTTTGATAACAAAAAAAAATCATGGTAAAAATTACTTAAATAAGTTGTAAACATGACAATCCTCCCCCACTTGAATAAACTTCGGGGGGAAAAAAGAGGGTACCGCCTGGGGTTTACACGGGAATATTTACACCGGATTTGTTGTAGCCAGGTAGGCACATAAGTTTTACACCCCAATCTATTCTAAGTGATGCCAATAATCTAATTTACCACCTAGGTGCTTTCATAAGAGAAGTAGGAACTCTTGATACTCTTTAAACAATGGTTAAACCAATTTCAACCTACTGATAAAACTTTTTAAAATGAAATCCTCACCAATTTTAAATATGAGGATCTCTTAGCTTTTCTACCTTAAAATTATGGCCCTAGTAGAATCCTCATTCTATACAATCTAGCTTGGTTTCTAGTTTCCCAGCAAGTATAAAAAGAACAGATCCCCGCTCTTCCTTGTCAATAACGATATCCGTCTTCATCGCATCCAATCTTACCACGAAAATTTGTTGCCCTAGACAACTGTGAGAAAAACAGTTCTCCATCCCACTTTAGGACAAAATTCATAAAAATAATTAGTTGCTCTCTTGCTGCTCATTCTGTTTATTATCTCTTTTAAAAAGGTCCACTTGACAATAATCTTAATTCATTTATCTTTAAAGGCTCGGAGTTATTATCATGACGGAACAACATAGAATCTTCACCGAACTATGATAGGTGCAACTTCTTCTATTTGCATCAATTGTAACCAAATCATACACAACAAAGGCCATCACTTTTGCCATGGCAAATATATCTGCGATAGTCAACCCCGAAAACACCTTCTGCCCTGGAAGCATGTCTTTTCAGTAATAGTTCCTAAAAATCAGATGATATTATGCTAATATTATGTTAAAAATGCCTGCCCCCTTGTACGATACTATACTTGCGTCGACTTATCGCACAGGCGTTATTCCACGAGGAGTCCTAAGAAAAATGGATATTCAAGTCTAAACAACGTAATTTTTTTCCCCTCACCCCCATTACCATAGGGTAATGAATTTAATAAAAATCACTAGGGGGGAGGGAAATATAAACATAATAGTGGAGGTCACAACGATAGGTTTTACTTTTGCCAAAGAATCTCTTTGGGGATTCTTTTTACATTTTTTTTAAAATATACTAATATTTCTTTTACCTACTTACTCATAAATTTTTACAGTATATGTGTTATTTTTTCAACTTAAAATCATTTTTTGAGTGCGTTTTTTTCAAATTTAAAAATCTGATTTTACCAGAAATGTATTCCATTATATTTTTAATACCTACCCTATGAATTTCAGACAATTATACCATAAACTTATATTAGTTTTTCCATAAATTTTTCACATAAATTATAATTGATTATAAAGTTAAAAACAAAATTATCTACAATTCCTAATGCGGGTATTCTAAACGCTGGAATACATTTCCCGTAAAATTATTTTAAATTTAAAAAAAACTCGCCTAAAGAATGATTTAAGATATATAAATATTTGTGTTATCATATAATCAAAAATAATAAATAATTGAAGCGAATGAAATAATTTTTAATAAAAATATAAAGTAGGTAGTGTTGTTAAACGGCTCGTTTTGCTCAAAATTTTAGCCAGAAAAATATTGCCTAAGCCTCGAGATTTCGAATATGTCTAGATCTTTGTTCCCTATAAGCAAAATTTTCACGCTTGCATAATACTATTCTGGATGAAATTTGAGATAGGCATTTTTAAAAATCGGTTGAAAACGAGCTATTTAACAACACTAAAAATAGGTAAATTATATATAACTCATTTAGATGTTGTTCCAATAGTGGAGTATTCATATTAAGAAATTTGACCGTTTTATATCATTTTTAGCTAACCTACTTCACTCCCTAAACCCCTTTCCTCCACCAATACATAATACTAAATAGAAGGTAATATGGATAGGAATACCTGCTCATCGATTATAAAAAAGACATATAATAATACCTAGACTGACGATGCATTCATTAAAAGTCTACATCAATCAAAACAGTAGGGGACGCCATTTTGATTGCCCATGTCATTATTAAAAAAATTTAAACAATAGGCCAATTTATTCCTATTTCTGACACAAACTTTATTAAAGAAATATCCATCGAGATAATTAAGGAAGCAAGTTATCAATTTAATAGTAATTTTTAACATGTGAATGTGAATAAATACCAAATGGGTGGCGGGGCCAGCTGATTACAACGACGCTTTAAAATGCATTATTATAAATGCATCGTCATTCCTGATATTATTATATGACATTGGATAAATCTTAATGTTTTATGAAAATTATCAAAACCTCTTTCATATGTTCCTATTTATATTTATTTATTTGTATACCCCATTCATCCATATCTCATTTTTTATGAATTTCATATTATATAAAAGAATGTTTTAAAATTAAACCAAGAGAATTAAAAGTCCCCCCTTTTCTATTAAAAAAATATATTTTTAAAAACCTCCATAAATATCAATAACAAATCGACAGATACAACATAATTTTTTTTTAAATTTTATCAAAAAACCCTTTTTTTAAAAATAAAAATCATTAAAAAAAATCTAAGGATTCCCATGTACCTTTTTAAAACCTATATCCAACATATTCTTTTTTAATGAATTCAAATCTTTTTAAAACAAATTATTTGACAAAGCCTTATATCCAAAAAAGTTTTGAAAATTTTTCACAAATTTAAAAAATATTTTACCCAAAAAATAATTATAGTATATTGCTTGGCATGAATATGAGTTTACTGGTAGAATCTCTAACCATTTGTTACTTTTAAAATGATAGTAGAAACTGATCCAAAAATTGTTTTATTTGGAAAATAATGTTTATGATTGTGTGCAATATATAGATTTGGTCGAAGTTCAGTAACATCATTGTATTTTAATAGGTCTATAATAAAAGTATTAATTTTTACAGCAATATATTTTGTCCTATTTCATCTAAAAATTTAATAGATACCCCTCAATAAATTTATCATACCCCCCTTAAAGCGCCTACCCTTACCCAGTCCCCTCAAGTAAAAATGGATGTAAACTGTTCCTACCCACCTCCCCGCCATGTAGACGCTATGTTTCATACCCATTATTTAAATTTTGAAGCAAAATTAAACTCACTGAGTATTGATGTTGGGTTCTATACAAAAAATAATCATTGCTTTTGAGTAGCGTTATTGAATCAGTCGCTATCATTAATATATAATAATACTTAGAATAAAGATTATAATTTATTTAAAATGTGTATCAATACAAATCAGCTTGAGTAGTATATAATATTAATTTCAAGCCTTATTTTATTTTAAAAAATTATCAATTTTAGTATTTGTTTTCCTTTTTTTCCCTTTCGGATTGTGAATAATTTCTGATTTACTGCAAGAGTATAAGTCAGTCTGGAAATATAAATAGAACAAAATTATTTTATAGAGGAAACTAAACAAAATAATTAAAACATTTAAATTTTTTTTAAATATCATTCAGAAAAAATGGGGAATCGCGAGAGATACAACACTTTTGTAAATTATTATATTATATAAAAATAGCCTAAAAACACTAATAAATAATTTTTATGATAAATTGCAAAAATATTCAATATATTTTGTTAGAAAATATAATTTTTAAATACAAATTATATTTGAAATGTTTTTATAACTAGTCATAGGTAAAATAATTTTGTATGAAGCATGATATCAGTAAAAAATATATATAATAAAGAGGTTATCAAATCGAGGCAATGAGTAACTTGCTGCTTAGCATTTAAACAAAAGCTCACACAACATGGGTGACCTTGAAAATAGATAATCGCAGCCATGGTGATTGTATATAATATAATCATATTTTCCTCTTCTTGTTGACTCTGGAATATAGATCATGGTTTTTAATTTTTTAGTCAGACACAAAACATTTGATAGGTATACAAAAATCTCCCACCCCATCCCAAGAAAAAGTTTGTATGGGCCTATGAGTCTATAATTTTAGTAATAAAAATTAAAAATAAAAGTGTACCGCTGAAAGATGTGTATTTTAAATGTACAAGATCACTAATTGGTAAATATTATTTATCAAATTAAGAGGGTTATAAAATTTTAAAAATTTGTCAAAATATATATTAATCCCAAACTATAAATAATAATTAAAAGGTTATCTGTCAATATAATTATTATAAAAACTTATTTTCTCTACTTAAATTATATATAGTTAAAATTAAATTAGTAATAAATTCTTGCAGACAGCCATATTAACCATATGATGTTAAATACATTTCAGATTAATATTCACGTATCCAATATGAAAATGCAATTTTTTTCGTCTATTTCATTTTTATTAGTCTATATAGTATCAATAAATTGTCAGTCCTCTCAAGAAGAATGTAATTTTAATTTATTTGTATATATTAGTAATTATTATGATGTTAGAATATTATTTTAAATTGTCATAAAAATCAATTTAAATACTTTTAAAATTATTAAATTTGCTAATATTTTATATGCATAATATAGTGTTAACCAGATTTGTTGGAAACATTTCCATTTTTAATTTATTTGATAAAAAAATTATCTGACTTGCAAAAAATTGTTAAAATAACATTTATATATTCTTATCAATTTTTACAAGTTAAATAATTTTATTTACAAATGAATTAAAAATATGGAAATGTTTTCCATCAAATCTGCACAATACTGTATAGTATATTAAACTTCTATTTAACTCAATTTATTGATTTGAATTTTTATTAGCCATTTATTTGTTTATACAAAAAGTTAATGATTAATTATGAGAACAATGGTTAGACTTATCCAGATTTTGACCTTGATTTTAAAAATTATTTTGAATTTGAATCAAATTTTTTTGAAGTTATTTGGGTTTTCAAATATTTTATATAAAGTTTATCTTCAGTAATAACACAACTTATTTTACACTATCCTTCAGCACCTTGAATTTTTTTGCTTTTGTTGAAATATCTTACTTTTTTAACAGTCCAATAAAAAATTATTAATTAAATTTTGGATCTTTGGAAAAAAGTCAACAGATTGGATATCAGTCCTATAAATAATTTTTTAAACTTTCATTGGACTGGGTCAATGAAAACTCCAATGCATAGCTCTAATAGACAGCCATTTTATCTTAGAAAATAACAAGGGTTCTGACATTTGGACTCTTTATCTCTGAACCTGTTCCAAACATGGACCCAAAAGAATTTAAATTAGGGAACCCAATCCAAAACTGTTTTTTCCCCCTGGACTAGACCAGGTTTACGAATTTTAATCATTGCATTAAATACATCTCTCTTAACTTAACTATTTTTTCAATTTTTTTTACCAGTGAATCTAGTTGAATATTGCTATTTAAAGCTTAATTGACTCTTAAACTTACAAAATAGACTTATTTATAATGAAATTAACCTGGCTCAATTTGGCCTCTGTTAGGCCAGCCTGGATTGAATACCATATAAAAAATATTTAGAACCTAAACAAGCACCAAACACAGCAAAAATTTTGTCAGTTTTCAGAACACTAGAAATAACCATGTAATTTTAAAGAAGCTTTTTAGCCAACAATTAAAATGGGTGAAATTTTTTATTAAATTAAATTGAAGAATGAGAAATAAATTGATTTTTCGTAATTATGAACCCTATTTATATGTAACCTAATTTTTCACGTAATAAGTGTATAAGGAACGGGAAAGGGGGATTTAAATTTTGCTCAATTAAGTCAGTTAATTCATTCATTCATTCATTACCACGCCAGAAATTGCACGAAGTGCAATTTCATCACCCACCAGGAGTTGTAGCGTGCACCATGTATATTCACTAGTATATAGATCCTATACATGATGTATACCCGTTTTATTATAGTGGGCAGTACCACTATGTAGTCAGCTAGCATAGTAAAGAAGAGAGGAGTAAGAAAGAGGGGATCTATTAGTTTTGTTACCGGCAAGATAGTGTTAAGAATTGTAGCTAATATTAATAATAATGTACCTGACGCCTGGTTAGATTTAAGAGATGGGAAAAAAATTCTTAATGTTTGGTAAGTATATCCTTGGAAGATAACGCAATGTCTATATAACATGTCCTATTCCTGAGGTATTCAACTTCTCTGTAATTGTAATCTCACTTCCTGAAGTCCCTTGTCCTAAAGAGCTTATTTTCTTTGTCTGATTTATTCCTTCTTTTATCCTCAATCATTTGTCATTCTAAGTCAAAAAGTATCCCCATAGATCCTTGTCTGTATTAAGCAAGCAATGCTCGGAATCCATGTTATTTACTATTATCATTATTATATTGAGCCTGGAGATCGTTATCATTATTAATATTCATGGTTTTAAGATTATCATTGACTTCGTCAAAAATCGTTCATCCAGTAGGGAAAGGAAAAAGGGTGTTATAAAGGGGAGGGGGAAATTTAGAAAAAATAAAATAAAATAATAATTATACTTATCTCATCTCTTTTTATTTAAACCATAATTCCAATTGTGCCAAAACATAAGTTGTCATTAGACTGGGGATAAGAGATTGGAAATAAGGCAGTGCGAGAAATAGTCTGATACTTCCACGATTCCTGCTCTAGTTTAAACCATATTTAAGCATGTATTGTAGATGTTCCTTTAAATGTTTCTTGTTTTTGCTGAGTGCAAGAAAATCTATAAACGTAAGATTGATCAAGTCCATGTCCTTCAGACATTTTGCCAGCCAATAGTATTTGGGAGTTCTTCGCCTTTCATAATCCGGGGTCCACTTCATGGACGAAAATATCATATTCTCTCGTGAATGTCTTAAGCAGTGGCCGAGTAATTCTAATCTCCTCAAAGGAATGAGTCATTTGATAGGTAGGATGTCACACCTGTTCCAGAGAGTTGTGTTTGGGGTGTTGTATGGATAGTAAGTTTTAGTGATTCTTCTTAAGCACTTGTTTATGAAGGTCTGGGATGTGTTGATGTTGCTTTTAGTGTCCTGCCATGTTTCCAAACCGTATGTTAAGATGGGTAGAATTAGGGATTTAAAGAGTCTTATTTTTAGGTTCGTAGATACCTGGTTGGACGACCATAATTTAGTTAGCTGATGATATCGGGATCTGGCCTTGTTGGTCCTCGACTTAGTATCCAAAATGGTGGTGCCTAATGACATTATTCTGGTTCCTAGGTACTTAAAATCCGAGACCGTTTCTACCACATTATCCAAATTAAAGGGGTCGCTGTTATATAGAAGGATATTGGATGCAATTAACTTTGTCTTTGAGTAGTTGACTTTCAGTCCGTATCCAAAGCAATTTTTGACAAACAATGACAGCAAGTTTCTTAATTTGTACTCAGAGTTAGCTAATATGCATACATCATCGGCATAGCATAGAAAATTTAGAGAGTTGTGTATGTTATTATCATATTGTTGATTCAGATATCGAGGGTTAAGAGCATGTTCTTGTTTGAAGAGGACATAGGAATAGATAAACATCTGATTTCGCTTATAAAAATAATATACGATAATCATAACGTGATACCACAACATCTGAACCTAAAATCACAACCATTTAAGGCCAACAGAGGACTGAAACAAGGATGCATTTTATCACCTATGCTATTTAATGTAATAATGAACGATATTCTGAATAAATCCTTCAAACAAGAACATGCTCTTAACCCTCGATATCTGAATCAACAATATGATTATAACATGCACAACTCTCTAAATTTTCTATGCTATGCCGATGATGTATGCATATTAGCTAACTCTGAGTACAAATTAAGAAACTTGCTGTCATTGTTTGTCAAAAATTGCTTTGGATACGGACTGAAAGTCAACTACTCAAAGACAAAGTTAATTGCATCCAATATCCTTCTATATAACAGCGACCCCTTTAACTTTGAGAATAATGTGTAAATCACAAAATTTTGATTTTTAAAAAAATTCATAGTGCGCCCGAATTGAGCGTTTACGTGTTGCCGTAATTTTTAAATAAAAAACGTAACGCGTCCCTTGTTTAAATTGAGGTTGTCTTTTTTGTTAGTATCCGTCGACTCAAAATTTTAAATAATTTCTAAAAAAAAAGAGGATTTGTCTTTGAAAATTATATTATCGCCTGCCTTCTTATTTCCTTATTTCCTTATTTCCTTAATTTCTAAATATTCTTTTTTTTTAGGATATAAGTAAGTTATTTATTTGCGTTTTTTTAAAAGGTTGCTTAACGCCAAACGGTAATTTTATCAATTTGCACAAGGCCGTAAGGAAGACATTATGGCGCTCGTAACGCTGCGTTTGAAACGCTCAATTTGTTTCGCGCTATTATTTATTATTAGATACTAAAGAATTTTATAATTGTATATATTCGAAAATATTTTAACCTGTATAAAATGACTGTTTACACGGATGGGGAGTGCTTGAAAGGAGTGGGGTTTATAAATTGATTTTAATTAAATTTTTAGTTCATTTATTAATTATATTTTTTTTTGGGGAGGGTGGAATGAAGCGAGAAAATAATATTTAAATCGAATATTAAATAATGTTTATGATAATTTTAATCGGACCCATTTCTTTTTTTTTTAGTGGATGTAAAAAAAATATTTCTCATATAATTTTATCGGCTAAAATATTAGCAGCATTATAACTTTTAGGTGCGTAATTTACAAAAACAAAGCCCAATAAATGGGTTTAATTTATAAATACCGATCAAAAAGGATGAAATCGCCACAGCTGTTTACGCCTATTTCCTAAAAGTATTGTAGCTGTGACGAACTAACACTGATTTCGCTAGCGATTAATTTCGCCGCTCGAACGAATCGCGTTTACTGTAAACGAAACGTATAACCCTTAATTTTCTGAAGACCACAGTCTAGGACCTATCTTATATTTTTCCCCCCGTCATTATACACACATTTCCTTGTTAATACTAGTAGAATTTTTTTTTTTTTAAATGTCATTTATTTTTAAATTAAAAATATATATAGATATAAAAATAATATTAATATTAAAATTAATATATCAAATATAAAATAAAACAATATTATATAAAAACGGAGGTGGGATACAAATTTAATATGAAAGAAAGACAATTTTTTAACAAAATATTAAAGAAATCGCAAAATTATTATATATTTTTTTAAAATTGATAATTAAATCATCTTTTGATCCATGTCGGCGCGAAAAATATGTTACTAAACATTAATGAACAACTCAACTATTTAAAAAAAATGGAGTTCGACCAATTTTCATGAAATTATTATAACGCTAGATCGGCGTTCGGTACATTTAAAAGGGAGATAAATTGGAGAAAAAATCGATCTGTTCCGGTCCCGGCCTAAGAACGATAGAACGGGTAGTTGACCTTCGCTACCTTTAATCATGAAAGTTAAATGTTATCAAATTCTTACCTCATCATTTACTTAAACACTTTATTTTGAGAAGTAAAAAAAAATTGATTATGCGTCAAGGTGAGTAATTATATAAACAATTTAAAAATTAGGCTACTAGTCACATAACTAAAATTCCCTTCGATTTCGGCTTTACTGACCTTGTATCTCCACCTAACGCTAGTCTCCTTTATTCCTTTTCCGCTGACTTGTTTTAATAGCATCTTGAGTTAATCCGTCATGTCATCTAAGTTCTAACGACGGCTGTCCCTCATCTAGTATTCCGAGCTTTTAAAGACAGCGCGTATCAAGCGCTTAATTGCCTTTTACGATCTTTGTTCCTCCCAATAACCGAGTAAAATTCTTCACATTTATCCTAGCTTCCGTTGCTTGTCTAACCCCCCCCCCCCCCCACCCCTGTAACCGATTAGCTCTTTATCCTTGTAAGCGATTGACGAACACTTGAATCCGATTGGCGCTCGCTTTTCAACGATTAGCTATTAATTCTAGTTTATTGCTCCATCCACGATCTTAGATCTTCGTGCCTTCCACTATAGTTTACTCTTGTTTTAGATATCGATTCGATTGTTTCTTATATCCCCTAACTTGATCTTGTCTTAATGTGTAAAGTTATTTAATTATTAAATAATAATTTTACTGATTTTTAATCTACATTATCGTACCACATGATCCCATTATACATTTACAATAACATAATCAAATTTATAAAATTTTACATCTTCTAACATTTTTTTCTCCGAAATCCACCTAAGATCAAAGGATTTAGTTGAGAGGAGCCATTATAATGATGTAATAACAGAATAAGATTAAAAAAACTGTGTTTTTGTGTTTGGTTTTGTTTTTTTTTATCTTCCTCTATTTTTTTTAATTACATCCTTTTTTACTACTTTGCCCCTGAAAATTTATTTATATTATATTTTTTTTTTGTCAACATTATAAAGTAAACAAAATCAATTTCACGTAAGTGACATATTTAAAATTTATATAAAAATAAATTTATGCGTAATTTTTTATTTTATTACAAAATTTTTATAAAATTTGAAAAATTTTACTTTTATTTTTATATACTTTTTCCTTTAAAAAATTTTGGATACGGTACTAAAAAAAACGGTTAATTTACAAAAAAAAATTATAAAATAAATAATATCCATTTGAAACCTTGAAAATATATCAGTTTTTTTTTGTTTTGTATTTTTGTTTTGTATATTAATTATAAACTTTAAATTTATTTGTTTTGCAAATAATATACATTTTATATCAATTGAAAAGTTTTTCTTATATTTTTTTGTGTAAGTCGCTTGTTATTGAACTTTTATATTTTGTTTTTAAAAAATACATATTTTATAATTTAATGAATAATGAATATCCGAAATATTTGTTTAATTTGGTTTCAGTTTTTTTTAAAAAAATTTTAATTCAGGCTTAAACACTGCTCAAACCAAAAATAAATCACTTTTGGAATTGGTTAAAAAAAATCTTCAAAATTGATTTAAGTAAATTGGCAAAGTTTCAAATCTGCTACATTTATGATAGTTATTAATCTTTTTTTTTAAAGGGGAGTTTGATAAAATTTTCCTTCCTAGATGGTGTTAAAGTTATCTAAAACTGTGGGCGTTTATTTATTTATAATATATACTATTACTATCCATTTAGTTGTGTTTGATTTTCAATGAGAATGTCTTATTTAATTTTAAATCTCTGAAAAAGAAGATTGAATCAAAAAAGAAAGCCACGAAAGCAAAATAAAATACTCAAATATGATTTGATTATTAATGATTTAAGTAAATTGGCAATAAAAAAAATACTAAAAAGGAGTTCGATTAAATTTTCCTTCCTAGATGGAGTTAAAGTTCTCTAAAACTGTCGCGTTTATTCACGATATACTATTACTATCCATTTAGTTGCGAGATGAAAAGGCTTCATTTTATTTTAACACTTCTTTAAAACAAGGTTAAATCGAAAGGCCAAACTATATTTTTAGTAAAAAAAGCCACGAAAAGGGGGGGGGGTATAAAAACGTTTTGATTTTGAATAAATTAATTATTTTATTTTAAATAATATATATATAGAAAATAGATCTAAAATATTAATGCCAAAAAATAAATATAAAAATAAACAACATAAATGTCACTTTTTGAATAGCGAAAAAACACAAGTTTCAAATTTTAATTTTTTTTCGGATGACCTTAGTCCTTTCTCAAATTATCAATACCATTTCCACCTGACGAAATTTTATCGTGAATATACAAACGGGTTTAATTCGAGTTTAAAGAAATTTTCCTGAGATAATCGAGATGTTACGAAAAAAACATTTCTTTGAGTGATTGACATTGACATATATCACCTGTCAAATTTTAAAAAATTGACTCACGGTTAGAGACCTGCAAAATCGAGTATTTTTTTTACGACCCTAGCCCTCATGCGTCCCGTTATCAAATAAAGCGTTTACAGGATATTATATTTATTACCATATTATTTTTTAATGACGCATTTATAAAGCGAAAATGATCATTTTCATTATCGTATTTTTTTTATAAAATTATTTTATCAATTACAAATACATATTATAAGGTTATAAATATTAAATTTTTATTATATGACAACCAAATGAGTAATATTTTTTTTAAAAATAATTTATATTTAATTATTATATTACCGACAATATGAATATAGGAAAATAATTCTCCAGCATCTTAAGATATTAGAAATTACAAAATTAATAAAATAGGAGAAAAAATATATCCATGGAATAAAAATCCTCAAGTAAATATATTTAAAAATTTTTGAATTTTTTTTCCGGGGGAATTATTTTCCGCTTACCACCGACAAAAATAGTACGCACAAATTTGAGCGTTTACGTTTTGCCGTAATTTTTAAATAAAAAAAAAGTTTAAATCGAGGTTGTCTTTTTATTAACATCCATCTATTCAAAATTTTAAATAAGTTCTAAAAAAAAATAGGATTTGTCTTTTGAAAATTATATTTATCGTCTGCCTTTCTTATTTCTTTAATTTCTAAATATTCCTCTTTTTTTAGGATATAAGTAAGTTATTTATAATTACACTTTTATATATTATTATTACAAAGCGAATGCTAACGCCAAACGGTAATTTTGCCAATTTGCACGAGGCCATTTTGAAAGGCATTATTGGCGTTTGGCAACGCAGCGTTTGAAACACTCAATTTGCTTGCACTATACATGATTAAATAAATATATACCTTTTTTTATAAGAAAATATTACTTATTGGTTAGTGTATAATAAAAATTTAATCTATATTATTTTTAAAATTATAATATGTATTAGATGATTTAAAAAAAAAATATATTATATAAATAAATGCCAAAAAAAAATTTAAAATTTTCTCATTGATAAATAAAATCAATAAATTAATATTGATTTATAAATAGTAAATTTTTTTATTCCGGTTTAATAATATAAATTAAATTATATTGGTTAAAGTTTTGCCTACAGGTATGTACAGCCAGGGCAAAAAGAACCGGGATCCTAAGATCTGTGCCTCAAAAAGGGGATCCTATCAGTAACGGATATCGGTTAAAACCGGGCTGAATTTTAAAACCGAAAACCGATCTGAACCTTTTAAAACCGGTTTGAATCTTCTTAAGTTCAAACTTATTAGACATTTTTTTAAAAAAATAATACCTAAGCCGTATAATTCAAGTAAAGTATTTTTCTAGATTCTCATCTGTCAAATTCTTAGAGGACAAAGAATAAATTCTATGGTTGAGAACATTTTGGTTATATCATTTGTATGCCTTTAAAACTAATAAAAATTTCAAAGTTTAAGATAAATGAGGATGGTTTTTTTAAAATGAAAATGATCGCAAATTTTTTAGAAATATATTTTTATCTTAAAATCTTCAATTTTGTGATCTCCAAAAATATTTTTGCTCAATAATTTGAAGGAAAAATTTTTTTTTCTCTAAAAGTCCTTTTTTTTTCAAACTTCTAAAAAAAATATTATTATTAAATAAATAAAATTCTTTGTTTTCTTATTTCCTATAAAATTTTAAAAATTTATAATTTAGAGACTGAATTTTTTTTTGGGCGCGGTCATCTCGTTTACCAGGAATTTTAAAATTTATAAGGAGATCATATGGCACAAAGATCTAAGATAACAACTTACCCCCCCCCCCCCCACCTCTTCGAATTTGTATATATTTTCTCTTCTCCAGATTATCTGTCAGATCTTTGCACGTCCAACCGTAATTCTACCTCTTCCTACCTTGTCGACACTCCCAAAGGCTACTACATATCCACTAAATCCACTTATAATCTCGTCAAGGATTTGTCCGGGAATAAGAAAGGCGAAAACAATAACGATGAAAAGAACGTAACGGGAAGCGATGACGATAAGGCGTGCTCTTTCGAATTCGTTTTCAATAGCGAGACCTTTCTCATACGCGCCGATTATGCTGCTAAAGACGTTGACGGGGGAGCGGCGGAAGTCGAAAGCGAAACTCTGGCGACGAGTTACTCGATCAACGTAGAGGCTCGTAGATCGGATTCGACAAATGGCGAAAGCGAGGCGGGAGAGGAGCCGATAAACTGTACAGCGACGCTGACCTTGATAGGACGCGAACAAGATTGGGCCGAAATTTCGAAGACGGAACTTTCACTGGTAAAATATCTTACTTTAAACATTATAATTGCTAGAAAGAAGGGAAGGTTTAAGAAGTAGCGTTTGTAAACATTTTCAAAATTTTAACTGTTATAAAAATAAAATGATTTGTTTTTGAAAATTATATTATCGTCTGCCTTTTTTTATTTCTTTAAATTTCTAAATAAACAAAAATGAAGAATTAAAAAAGTATTGAAAAAAAAGCAAACCCCCATTTCCTTTTCTGTTGCTAACTCCAAACGATAATTTTACCAATTTTACTATAGTATAATAAGAAAAATTTTATATATTTTTTTATTTTGTAAAATATTACATTTTAAAGTGTCCTACGATAACTCAGACAACCGTTTTACTTAGCAAAAATTTTACCTCGGCCCACAAAATTGAGATTCAGGTGAAAGATTTTACTGTCGGAAGTCTAGGCGACTATGATCTCATTCTTAGCATTCTAACTGGAACAGGTTAAATTTGAAACATAATTTATTTACCTTTTTTTTGTAAATTTACGTTCTACTCAAAAAAAAATGTGTATTTAGGTTAAGGGAGAGCTATAATAAGATGATATAAATTTCATTTTTTAAATTAAAATTTATTATTTATTTTTTTGAAATGACTCATCGGAAATAATTTTTTTTTTTCTTAGTCGACCAAGAATGTACAAAACAATATACGGATCTGTTGTATTAGGATGATAGAAATTCATTATATTTTAAAGGATTATAATTAATTTATATATATTTACGAACCTGTTATTAGCCATGTATTTTGTTTATTTTGTGGGAAAAGAAAAAGATATCCAATTTATATTGTTATCTAATTATGCTTTTGATTTAAAGGGGGGTGGTTAATAACACCTTCAAATACTATCATTTGAAGCCCAGAAAGTCGACGCGGTTTAAGACTCGGCTGAGCGAACGATTTTTCGGGCCGGTCCGGGTTTTCACTAGCTAATTTAGGTCGGGGCGATTCTAGATACTTGGGAGGAGGGGGTGTGGAGAGTAGAGACCGACAAGTAGTAAACTTCTTTTTACCTGACTCCACCCTAAGGTCGTTTGGTTGGGTCGGATTATATAGTTGTTCTTTTTATGGGGGGGGGGGTATAATCACGTGATCATCAAATTGCGCGAATCGTTTTTTTCTTTAAAAAACTTTCCAAAAAAAATTTAATGTTAAAAAAAAAGTTTCAAAAGAAGATGGTATCAAGGCGAGTGTAGATGACGTAATTAATAACGATATTAGTAAAAGGTCTTTGTCCGATGCCGATCAAAATTCTGCGAGAGTTAAACGACGTATTAAATATTGATTTTCTCATTAATGATTTATACTAATTTATTAATTTATCAAAAGTATGTTTTCCAATAAATAGATCAAAGAATGGAACGAAATAAGGAAGAAAGAAGGAAGGAAGGAAAAAAGGAAGGAAGGAAGGAAGGAAGGAAGGAAAGGAAAGGAAAGGAAAGAGATAAAATATATCATCCAAGAAGTTATGACAAAATAAGTTTTCTATTTATACAATTTTAAATAGTTGTAATATAATTTTGGGAAAAAAAACATCCTCTTTTTAAAGATATTAAAAATTACAAGATTAATAAAATAGAGAAAAAAATTCATGGAATAAAAATCCTGAGAAAATCAATTTCCGGAGAATTCTTTTCTAAGATTTATTATTGGGGATTTCTTTTTGCCGGAGAATTATTATCCGCTTACCATGATTTTGGCTGTTGCCCCGAAAAATATTTTATGCGATTGCCATATTTTAAGCGACGCTGTGGCGTTTAAGTTTTAGAATTAATTAACACTCCCGAACGCCGTTAATTACATTCATCCCTATTGAAATCAGCAGACGATAGTCGCTTTATCCCTGACGCTGCATTTATGATAAACGCCTTTATCTTCAAGCGTCGCCTTATTTAACGCAGCGTTATTACAGCTGATAAAAACTAATTTATGATAAGGCTAAAATAGGGATATAATATTTAAGAAAAATCATATATACCCTTTTTATAGAATTCGCTATTATTTTTATAATCGTAATTTAAAAACAATAATTTTATTTAAAAAAAACATAAATATGGTATCCACAGAATATTACTATCAACAACAGCAACATAGAAGTAAAACAATTTTTTAATATTTTCTTTTTTGTTACAATTTGCAAACACATTTTATTCTATTTATTTTCTCTTATTCTATTTATTTTCTCTTTTTCTATTTATTTCTCTTCACTTCTTTTTTTTTCTCGCTCGAATTATATTAGGCACCGGTAGACGTATAGCTCGCCTCGGTGCCGGCATCATAGCGGCCATAGTGATAGCCTGTCTCTTGTGTTGCGGGGTTTGTTTCAGTCTTTGCTTCTGGATTTGCTCGAAAAGGGGTGGAGATGGAGGAAGTGGAATGCCTAGCTGGATGAAAGGTTATGAGAAATTTTTCTGCTTTTTATAAGAATTATAGTACGATAAAATAATGCGAAATTGTAAAAAAAATTTTTTTTGTTTATTTCGATTATAGGTATGCCGTCGGTATACAGGACGGATCAGCCAGCCCCTACTGCTGGCCCTGATTATTATGGCGGAGCACCTCAGCCAGCTGGATACCCAAGTTTGAAATGAACATGCAAAATCAAACAACAGACATTTTTTTTCCACTCTTCCCTAACTTTTTAGAGGTCTGCAATATACCCGCCCGTGGGATTTTAAAGAACCCACCCGCCCCCTTTATTTATTAATTTTGTTTACCCCACATGCCATCCCGTTATTTTATGACCGATAAGAGTATTTCAAATTTACCCGCCAATTTTACTCATTTGTTCTTGAAAATATTTTTTAACCCGCGCCCGCTTAAATGTTTGAAATCTTATAATCCATAAAATTTGCCTCTTTGCAGACCTCTACTCTCTTTCTTATAAAGTTTTAAATATAAAAAGTAAGATATAATTTAAAAAGAAGGAAGAAATGATAGTAAATAGTAAACTATCGCTTACTATCCGTTCTATTTTTTTAACTATCTTGTTTTTATCCCTCTTCCTTTTTCTAATATTCCCAGTAACACAAATATGGGCTTATTTTATTTTTGTAAATTTTAATATTTAATATATTTTATATACAAATATTTACCCACTCCCACTACACATATTTTTTTTTTTTTAAAATAATATAATATTTTAAATTATTATATAATCTGACAAATTTGAAAATAACGTTACACTCGCATTTTTTATCTCTAACGAATGTATCTGTGGTCAGTAACGTTGTTAAACTGCCCGATTTGGGTAGATTCTTAGAGACGATGCGATTAAGGTTTTAGCCAAAATAATATTATGTAAGTCTCCCAAGATTTGGCAATTAGAAGTCCACCAAACCCTTCTGCCATCCTATAAACAAAATCTTCAGGCTTATATAATATTATTTTGGCTAATATCTTAATCGGGCCTTTTTTTATAAAAAATCGACCCAAATTGTCTAACAACACTAGTGGTCACTCTATAATTATTTAGCCAAGATGTTATAAGAGTTGAGGTCATCAAAATCTGTTAAAGATTTTACCTATTGAACGTATCATCATAAAATCTGCGATGAGTTTCACAAGTTAGCCAATTTCCATCCTTTGTCGCTATTTTATTCATAATGCTAAATCCTCATTCAGCTTCTGCGTTGCTTTATATAAATTGTATTTGCCATTTCCTTCACTTTCTCAACGATGTTGGGTTATCGGGTCAAAACATTTTGATATTGTTCATTTTCAATTTCGAATTTTTTTTTATAACACAAATTTGTGGGAGAAGTTTTGGAAGGTTTTACGAAATAAAAAGAATGCGCGATATTTGTGGGAGTTTGTTCAATTTGGGACGTTATATTTTTTTAAAAAAAATTGCTGGAGACACTGATGGTGGGGAGAATCAGACAACCTTTGATAAATGGGACACTGACCAGATTGGGTATAAATATCAACAAAATCTCGAAAGTTATTTGGATCCTTTATTGAATTTTTAAAATTTTCGATGAATTTGGTCTGTAATTTTTTTTACTTTCTCCTTCATTCCTTTTTAGGAAGAAAGAAATTGACAAACTAGACCTGTTTTTATTTAAAAAAAAATAGAAAAATATACTATTTATAAATAGCTAAAAAATTTAAAATTGCGGGAGATTTACAATCCAATTGCGGGAGGTTTGCGTGATTAAGATATATCTGCGTGTATATTAAAAAAAATTGCCGGAAATCTCCAATCCAATTTCGGGAGTTTTGCGGGAGGGAGATGTTTGCTTGTAAAAAAAATTCGCGAGTATACCGCTGATGGGGAATCCAACTTTACAAAAATAAATCTATCCACCTATTTTTGGCACAGAATAATAATCATTGGAATTAAAAAGATAAATTAAAATGAAATCCGTTCATTATTGAATAGAAACCAACTTTATAAATAAAAAAAAATGAAATGCTTGAAAAAAATTTACTTTAAAATTTTTATTTGGGAGGGATATACGTAAAAAATGAATGTCATGAAATAAATCAATTCTAGAAGATAAATGCCGGACGAAAAGTTTAGAATAAACAGCTGTGTTGTTAAACGGCTCGTTTTGAGCCTATTTTTAAAAACTGGTAACTCGATATATTGCCCAAGCCTCGAGATTTGGCTAACAGATGTCAAGTCCTTTGTGCCATCTTTGAACATCCTCAAGCTAGCGTAAAATTTTTGTGTGGATAAAATATTGAGTTGGCCATTTTTAATAATCGACTCAAATAGAGCCCTTTAACAACGCTAATAAAGAGTATCCTGTCAACCTTTAACGAACATAATACCTGTTGTAGCTGTTGAAAGAAAGAAGAAATAAATTTAATATAATACATCAAATGTCAGTTATTTTCTGACAGGGGAATTAAGTTTTCCTTGGTGATAGAGGGAAAACGGGATCATCACGGGGGTAGGTGAGAAACAATGGAACTCTCTTTAGGTGTCTTTTGGGGTGAAGAATATATATATTTTTAATGAATAAATATGAAGTCTTCTGATAAATATAATTATGAATAAATATGACTTCTTCGTTATACCCATTCCTGTTTAGTTTTTCTCTAAAAAAAATTTTTTTTTGACAACCGGTTACAGGTCGCTAATATATTTAAAAACGTGCTCGAAAATGGATCAAAATTCTGACGAAGCTCCATCGAGCCATCGCGTCTCCCTCTTTATAAAATAAATAAATCACCCCACCCCCTCTCTCACATGTTAAACTCGCTCAAATTAAAATCCCCCCCCCCCATCCCTTTACCCTTTTCCCCTACTTATTTATTATATAATTTAAATCTAGGCATTGTTAGTTAAAAGTTGTATCAAAAATTATTTAATACAGCTGCATATGGAAATACACCAGGGACTTACCAGGCGTATCCTCAAGCTCCTATAAGCAACTTCGACCAGCCGATGTATAGAAACCAACCACCGTCCAATTATCCCACGGCTCCAAATCCCAATGAATATTACAGGAATTGAAGAAGGGAAGCAAAAGACACTTTTAAAATAACTGATTTTCCTTTTCCCCTCAAAATTATTAGAAAACGAATATTTTTTTGGCTTTATTTTAAAATTATAACGGCGCCCATCATATTATGCCAATATCTTTTCGAAACAAATTATTATTTACATTTCTTACCCGCGAAAATTTGCGAAATTCGATAAACGATTTTAATATTAATAATATTTTTTTAATGATTGACACCTTTCTCTCTAGAACTTTAAATTAAAAAAAATCTCGTTATAATGGGGGCACGCTTCAGTTATTTTTTTTTACTCTACTAGAAAACATACCTCGATGACATCTATGGATACCATATGTTAAGGATTTTATTGGTCAATATTGTTCACATGATTCTTTTTAAAAAAATATATAAATAATTATTGTAAATTTGAGGCCTTACTTTTTAGTTCCTCTTTTCTTTTTCTTTTCAAAAATTATTTTTAACAATTTTTTTTCATCGTATTTAGTTTTACAGTTTATTCTCTTTAACTTTTAATGAATTTTATTTATATTATATTCATTTTATTTGTAAAGAAAGAAAAAATCATAATTTTATTTTTTATACTATGCTATATTTTTTTTTTAAAAAAAAGCAAATTTAAAGCTACATTAGCGCCATATTTATATATTTTTTTAAAAAAAATATTTATTTTCTTTATGCCATAAATCTTAAATATTTATTACCATTACCTGAATATTATATATTTTTTTTATAAGAAATGAATATAATGACGTGTAATGTATAAATGTCTTATTGGGGATATGGATTCTCACACTTTTAATTTTAAATTCATTTACACCACGATATCTTTAAATATGGGAAATCTTATTTGACCCTGAAATGCATTCCAACACTTACAGAGTGCCCGCACACTGAATTTCAAACACATTTTGCCCAAAACTGTTGATTTATATATGAGAAATTTCATTTGACCGGAAATGCATTCTTTCAACACATGCAGATTGTCCACACTGAGAATTTCGAACACATTTTGCCTAAAGCTGTTTGGAATACATTTAATTTAAAATACCCATTTTTATATTGATTTTTTCGTACACTTAAAAAAATGCACAATGTCCAACTTTTATAGAGTAGTTTGTCTAGACGTGTTGGAATATATTTCCGGTCAAATCATATTTTCAAAATCTAAAAATCGTCCTCAGGCAAATGATGATAATGTGAGAGATTTTAAATCCCCATGGATTCCATATCCCCGCCCAATTACGATATACATATATATATATATATGTATATACTAGTAGAGTGGCGATTCAATTTATTAAAAGTGCGCATGCCTAGGAGGGTCAGCTGTAGCACCATTTTAAGTCTTAACTTATGTGCTGCATACTCTTATCTGACTCATGGAAACAATTTTCCAAGGAAAGGCAACTTTTTTCTAATGAGCATAACCTAGATTAAAACAGGTTTTGTGGGGATAAAGACTTGAATGTTTTAAGGAGTTAGCTAAAGATAGGTGATTATAATAACTATAGTTAAGTAATTGCTATATTTTTAGCCGCATAAAGCCAATCTTTACCTGGTTAAACCAAGTTTTCAGCCAAAAACTAGCACTTTTGTCCTTTGGGGTTTTTCTTAAAAAGATAACACAAATTTGGAAAGAAACTACTAACGCCTCAATGTTAACGGATTTTCTATTGAACCGAATTAGCCGAACATATAGCCCTTACCCAACTATAATAACAACCCTTCATAGCCAAAAATAAAAACACATATTTTTTTTTCAATTACATTAAGAAGTCAGTGTTATTTTTTTCCTGCTTTGAATATAGTGGTTTAGGAAATGGTGGTTGGATGACTGAGAGTTTAATTTATTTCTCATTTAAAAGGGTTTGGTGCCTCATCATTTTTTGAAAGCAATTTTGCAAATGCTAAATAATTTAATAAAAACATTTAGAAAAGCAGCAAATTTATCCAAGTAAAAATTACAGGTATTAAATCAAATTTGGATGTAAAGATTGTTGGCACGAAATTTAATTTATTTAACATGAGAGGGTTTTTTTTAAAAAAATGAAATCCAAAAAATCACTAATTCGGAATTTCTATTCTGGGAGCTGGAAGTTTGTAAAAACCCGGACACGTAAGTTGTGTCGGAAATCGTGATTATTTTATTTCCGGTTCAGGAATTTAAGTTGGATTGGAAAATAAATGTATATCGCTTGTTAGATTATTCCATCTCCATTTTTTTTTGTAATTTCAAAGGTGAGCCATTAAAATTAAGTTTCCAGATTTTCAATATGGATGATATAAGTATAACCTTATATTCGCTATAGTTTAGCAATAATACCTAGACTGACAATGCATTCATTAAAAGTGTAAAACAATAAAAACAGCCGTGGTTGCCATTTTGATTACCCATAACATTATCAAAAATTTTAAACGAGAGGCCAATTTATTCATCTGTCTGACCCAAACTTTATTAAAGAATTGCCTGATCATAAGGAAGCAAAGTTATCAATTTAATAGTGGCTTATTAACATGGGAATAATTACTATATTGGTTACCAAAATGACCGGTCCAGCTGATTTACATTCAACGACTTTCAAATGCATTATTATGAATGCATCGTCAGTCTAGGTATTATTGTATATCATAGAGTTTAACTAAATTTATAAATATTTCGGATTTTTTTTATGTTAATAAGATTAGTATAATTATATTAAAAAAAATTGATTTATATATAAAAAAAAAATCATTTTTTGACACAAAATGGATATGGAATAACGTAATTCACAGATGATAGTTTGCTAGAATTTTAGATATAATCCATCACGTTAATAAATCCATGGTTTGTGATCGTATGCTTCTCTTTCTTCACAATTACGTTCATTTTCACATTGTTTCTTTATAACTAGTGTTATTAAATGGCTCGAATTTTTTAAAAAACGGATAATAGTGCAAAAAAACGAATGCAACGCGTCTCTTGTTTAAATCGAGGTTGTATTTTTTTATTAATATCCGTCGATTCAAAATAAAAGGATTTCTCTTTGAAAATTATATTATCGTCTGCCTTCTTATTTCTTTTAATTTCTAAATATTCTTTTTTTAGGATATAAGTAAGTTATTCATATTACATTTAAAACGCTCAATTTGTTCGCATTATAAATCAATATTTTAGCCAAAAAATATCATGCAAACCTGGAGATTAAGGTTTGAACATCCATTAACCAAATGTCGAGGTTCGCATAACATTTTCTGGCTAAAATATTGTATTAGCTTTTTTTAAAAATCCGCCATATTTTATTTTAATAATCTAACTGAAGGGGAATATATATAATTAATTTTATGTTCGGGAATTTTAGTTTTTTTTATAAAAAAAATGAATCTTGTCGGGAAATACTTATTCTTCCTACGGGTCATGGCAGGTTTACTTGCAGCTGACCGGACTTAAAAGGTTAGGTATATTGACTGAGGCTCACCCGGATGCAATCCCTGGCTGAAGTATTCTAAAATATAGCACTCCCTAAATTTTAACCCCACCCCCCTAAGTTTATTCCCCTCATCATAAATGCTGACTCATCCGCACCCTAGAAAGGGCAAATGTTTTCCATAAAGATAAACATAAAATAACTCTAAATTGATACTTAATTTCAAATATAAAGGTCTCGGGAGGTTTTTTTTTCTCTTCTTATTCTGAGAACCAATAGTTTATAACATAATTCATATAGGTTTGTTTATTTTAATAATTTTAAAAAAACTGTTTGATATTAAAATTTAGAGAATACAAATAAAATGGCATAAATAAATTAACTACTAATTACTTAATTAAGTAATATTAATTGTAATGAAATAAAATGGCAAAAATTAAAAAGCAAACTAAAAATTAAAATTTATAAAACTTTTTTCTTGATATTACACGTTTTTATCGCTATATTTATACTACTCATCGTATTCATATTCAAATTTTAATATATAACTTTCTGTATAAAAAAAACTATTTTCCGTAACTATTCAAATTTATATAAACCACTATTTATTTAAATACTATTATTTAAATAATAATATTCTAATTTTTATAACAAAAATAATTTATAAGTTATAATAACACATAAAATTTCAATAACATTCTCAAATAAAACATTAGATAAATTATGAATCCGTATGGCGAAATCAAAATTTTGGCAAATAAACAAATATTACCAAACGCAAGATTTTAGTCAAAAGAGGGGAAAAAAATCTTTCCACCATGTTTTGGCGGAATCTCAGGGTTTAGGTAATTATTGATTGTATAAAATCCCTGATTTAGTCGTTTTTTTTTTAAAAAAAAAATGATCAAAATGCCGACAAGATACATCATGGACGAGATGTATTTAATAAGGGAATAAAGGGGAAGAAAAAATATTATTTAGTTGTTGGTTTCAAGGATGACATTTCAAGCGGTGAATGAGCGAAGCTGGTAAAAAATTTTCAATATATGGCTCTCTGCATGAAATAGAATCCCTTTTTTGGTCATCTGTTTTGTCTGAGAGACAAAGTCTAAAACGAAGAATAAACATAGAGCACCAAATTTGTTAAGAGGGGTGACTGTGGGAAATGTGTAATCGTCGGGGATGCCTATATTACAAATCGATCTTTACTTTACAATATGTTATTATTTATGTTAAAAGCAGATAAGAGATCTTAGCAAAATTACAAAGATTTTTTTTTTAAGGAAATTTTTGGAATCCTTCTAGGCAACAACTCCTGCATAATAGTCATAATGGCTAAAGTGACGAAAATAAAACTTAAGTGAGGAATTGAAGCCCCTGGTTAATGGAAGCAAAGTGAATATGGTCACAAAATTACAATTTCGAATATAGACCAGAAATCGACCCTGAAACCATAAGAGTGCCCCAATTGATTTATTTAGGATAGGTTGATAAAACCATACACTAACGATAGAAACTCTCTAAATAGGCCCAGCTTCCTCAAGCATAGTCAGGTAGAAGATGTGTAGCAAGAGATTTTGGAGGATATGAAGTCACAAATGGAAAAGGAAATATGGAAAGTGGGGGGGAGCAGATAAAAAATATGACATATAAATAAATGGATTCGATTATGAAAAAAATAAATAGATTGAATAAATAAGGGTTTATAAGAATGGAAACTACTTTCATTGTATTTATTTAAACATGCTTCTTAATAAGTTATAAAAAAAAAACTATTACTAAATTAAATAGCTCCGTTAACAAAGTTGGTTAAATGGTCTAAAATGGGATAATCCGACTGTCGTAAAATAGACTAATCATAGGGATTAGAGCTGAAAAATTAGCACTTTCTCTAAGATTCGCGCCATTTTTTTTTGTCAAATAAGAAAACCCCTGAGACTGAGGATAACTAAATATCAATGAAGCTTCTCTGTGTAAACTAACTCGGAAT